CGCACAAATGCTCGGGTAAAAATGAAATGAAAATGGGACAATATAGTGACGAAATGTCTGACACTATCACATGAGGGACACCATCATGAGTTGGTTGGAGGGAGATAGATCGTAAACATAGTGAATTTGTGATAAACGTATATTGCCCATCACACACGGGGTGTATCATGGGGCGTGCCAATTGTTTAAAGCATATCGCTGAGTGGCATTTATCGTCATCATTCATGAAGAAATCTGAAGTCGATAAAACCTAGCCAATCGAATCTGAAAACCAGAATGGAGTTCGAATAGTGGGGCGGAGAGGCAAAGAGAGAACTGCACGGGTGTTAATGTTTTGTGACGAGCAGGTAATGTGACACATGAGTGATTGTGCCGTAAATGAAAATGTGCAGTGTATGAAATAAACATTTACACAGGAGTCTTTTTCTCATACCTGTATCGTCCTATTTCTGCTGAGGATGTGTGCGATAAATGCTAGGCTTTTGATTCATGCTACGCAAACTGCAGACAGGTCTGTGTTGTAGATATAGAAATTTATTTTTCTTGTTTGAGTAAAAATGTCATGAAAATCATAACCATCAAGAGTTACCATACTTTTTTCAAAGGAAATTCAGCACTGCTTGTATTCACTGTTTCCCGGGCTTCAGTTTTCGACAAAATGTGAAATCACGATACAGTTTGCTCAGACTTGCATTATCCCTTGGGTAAAAATGAAGTACAGACCTTACCTGACCATCATAGAGCCGAATGAACGTATCAGATCGGAAGTGCGTCAAAAAGAAGAAGCCAGGAGTTATACCCAATATTGTGTGAAATTATATAAAAATGAATAAACCCACTTCAGGTGGTTTGATGTGGCCGGTATAAATTACCTCTTTCAGGAAAACCTTTGGTGTCATTTTCAACCACCTTCCACCATTTATTGGTACGAATACCAGCACAAGCAAGTTCTTTAGAGTCCTATAACAGGACTCGTGATCTGAGCATACACAATTCCTGAATGTCGATTAGCAACCTTTTTGTGGTCAGTCGAAGTTTGGTGCCACAGTCTTACTTATGTTAGTTTCCAGAGCGAACGCAATGAACTCTCTCTCCCTATTCGTGGCTTACGCGCACACATCACAATGTCATGCCTGGCAAAAGTGATAAAACGGAAACACGCACGGCAGAGGACAGTTTGAGTTCACGTGATCAGAACATTGTGTGCCTTATTTGCACCAAGAAGTTATTCTGTTCTGTACCAAGTCAATTTGTTTTGCCCGACATGAGAAAGGATTCAGTTTGTCTTGCCATTATTGCAAAATGTTAGAACAAACAGGCTTTCGGAATATCCATGACAATGGAAAAAGTTATATTTTCCAAGGTCCACTTCAGTTGGGAGTTTAAATTCAGCTCTGCTTCAACGCCAATAATTCATTGTCCCTTCAAACTTCAATGTGCATCACATAAATCATGTGTTGTTCTCCATAAATAAAAGAACAGTGCTTCAAAAGATTTTTGCGTACACAATTTGTGCTAGAAGGGTAAATAACTGATTGAATATTTATTTTTATGCTATCCATATAACGGAAGGAGCATATTGTGATTTTACTGGATGGGCTGAGAATTGTTCCGATGAAAGAGTTAGTCTGGAGAGCAAACTTTCTTCTTCTTTCTTAAGCTGTTTCATTTACTTCATTAACGACTCAACATATTAACTGAATCAAGGGATTCGGGAAGTTGAATTCCATCACAGATAATTCTTATTAGCCATTTCTCTCACACTGGTTCGTTCAAAGCCTTGACGTTGTTTTATTTCCGAGGAATAATAGTCGAATTCAATCCTGTTGAAAAACTACGACTGAACTCTATGTTGAACAGTATGCGGACTTATTCGTTAAGCCCACTGATCTCACCATGTACTACTATCTCCTAATTAATACCATGTGTTTGCTGTTCACGCTTTGCACGGATGCTATTTCTAATAGGCATCGTAATCCCCTGCCCTGCCCTGCCCTGCCCTCCTCCCCACCACCACCACCACCACATGCACACATCGCTTCAACGAACACACGCACGCATATCCCCTGAAAGGAATGCTACTATGCAAAACACGAGCCTCATCGAACTGCCACATTCCATTTGCTTCAAGTTCCAATTATACATATGACATTCATTCACATGCCGAAGAGCTATGAACCGTACCTTGTCATCAGGTTACCCTGACCGTGGCAACAGATGATCAGTGCCAGACGAATGAGGTATTCCTAAGCCTGTTTCCCTTTTTACCAATCTATGCGTCCATCCACCCACCGGCCCAGTAAGCCATCCAATCACTCACACTTCACGCCTTATGCATGATCGACGTCACAACAAAATCGTGTTGCCAACACTGGTAGCCATTTTTAGCAACTACATACGTTCCTTGGTACAGGTATAAACAGAGTCTTTTGTCCATATACATGTATCATAGTAATTAAAAGTCACAAAATTAGTGAGTTTTACCGACCGAAGGTAATGTGGGGAAAATATTAACATGTTGTAGATCATCGCACTTTCTCCTGCTCGCTCTTGCTCAGTTTAAAAAAGAAGATATTCTGAGCTCTAAAGTGATTTATGTGGGAAAGTATCACACACAAAGTCCGAAAGATTTTTGAGCAACAACAAGCGTCCTAAGTGACATTCGAGCGAAATTGAAGCAAGATTGATAAGAATATGTGACATGCTAGCTCGTTGAGGGTTTTAAGCATTACCATAAACGCGGGGATTACATGGAATTGCAAGCAGATGGGTGAACAATTTCCCTTTGGTTTTAGTTGTTAAAAGTAAAGTTCGGAATCAGTTTGATTACTGGTGGAATCCAGGAACTTATGGGTGGGAGAGACATGAGTGATGCATAAGAATGGGGTGGTTGGATGAGTTGTTAGGTAAAATCGTTTGATGAATTGTGTCAGATTTCCATGGGGAAAAAATTACCAGTTTGTGAAAATGTGTTCTCTGATTTTAATTGGAAATTGTTCAATTGTACAAGTTCTATTAATATGTATTCTTTGGTTTACTCTTTTTTATTGCACTATAAACAGAAACTGCAGGTAACTAGACACCTAAACCGAGCTACCACGTCAAAATAACCAAGATGATAGGGAAGTGATTCGAATCATATCGATCAACAAAAGCACATTCAAGGTTACATTCCTTTGTTCGATGTCATTTGGTCAAGAATAGATCTTTTGAATGATTTTTCCGATGAACACCAGCCAGACAAAAATTTACTGAATGGTAACAGTTTTAGACACCAAAACTGAGAACAGCATCCATCTATCCTACAGTTTAACTCTTCAACAGGGTTTATGGTTGGACCTAGATGCCTCCCTAGCACTACAAAAAGTACAACATAAGCACATTTGTAAGTTGTATACTCTATGGTTTATCCACCAGCATATGCTCCACTTTGTTCCCAGAAGAGAGCAAAATTACAAATCCATTGGGCTATTCAGACAGGAAAAAACGGGAACTAGCTTAGTCGATCGTTCAGTGAAGCTTTGGTCAACAAGTTTTCCGTGTGGACAATGCCGGTCTGATTGAGTCATAAGTTTTATCACCGATAGTGTGTTCGAAACTTGCACATAACCAACCGTTGACCAT